CTCTTACAATGGCAAAGTGTGTGTGCGCGTTCGTGTGTGGTGTCTGGGTGTGGAGGGGCTCTGTGCACCTGCGTGTGTGTGTGTCCTCTGTGTACTTGTTCAGCTTCGCCAGCCAGAGTGAACAAGAACACAAGTGTCCTCCCCAGTGAGGAGTTCTCACGAATCTTCCTGTAGCGCCAGTTTAAACTGTCGCCTGCGCAGAGCCAGGGCAGGCGCACGAGTATGCATGCCACCTTGTCCTTTCTGAACATTTCCTCACCCTGCTCGGTTTCTCGCCGACATCTCAGAGGCCCAGGAAAAGCTGCAGGCCAGCTGATCACAATCTCCTCATGCCCTCCTCGGCGGCCCTTCTCTCTCACCAGTGGGCCCTGGGACTCTCACAGGCCCCGGGGATCCAGAGATTTGGTGGCTTCCTCTATAAGGCAGACCCAGCATGGGCTTCCTACCCCTCCAACCCAAGCCAAGCCTGCACCTCTCAAATCACACCACACGCCCTCACACAGAAGGGAGTGCCTGGTCTCACTCCTTCACATTAATCTTGTGTGGATAGACAGCACGTGAATTTCACTCACTGCAGGCCCTGTTACGTGGTAAATAGCACTGCAATGAAACATGGTACAGCAAGATTTAACCTCCATAAGTGTTTCTTTGCTGGGGGCAGCTCTGGAACCAGACGGATTTGAGTTTGCGACAGGAGAAGGGGTCTGAACTGTGGCTCCTAGCAGCTAAATTATCCACGGGTATAGGCACTGTAAGTCAGTCAGAAAATGGGCTCTGGCCCTCTCCTCCCCTCTGAAAGCTTGGGGTCGCTGCTGCCATTTCGGGGACCAGCACACACAGCGCACACTGCCAGCCACCCCTGCTGGGTCACGACTGCAGCACGGCGACAGGAAACACTGTGGCTGGACGTTCTCAAATCACAACTGCTCATCACAGGGTGGGGCTTAGGGGAGCTGGGCAGCGTGAGAGGAGAGGAATTCTTTTCAGTTCAAGATGAGAGTCCTCTGCCAGTACTAAGAACACTGCCCCAGCACTGTCTGTCCGAGGGGCCCATGCCCGGCCGGCATCCTTCCCACGGTGGGTCAGGACGAGACCCGGACACAGCGCGCCAACTGCAGGGCCAGGCGCCACACTGGGGGCTCCCTGGAGCGCTCCGAGAGCCTCCCTTCCAAGTGGCTCACACTCGGCTCACACTCGTCACACGAGTGCACGCCGCAGGGAAAGGGGGCCAGGACTGACGGAAAACCACACCTGTCAACCACCTAGCGCCCCAAGTACAAGGTCCCATCCTGCAGGCGGCGGCAGGGACCCGCTGGGCAGTCCTGGGCTGCCAACCCTTTTCTAAATTCCTTCTCAGGTGTCACGACAGCCCGTGGACAGCTTCTGGAAGGGTCTGTTTTAGGGAAGAGACTGTGGTTCAGAGAGTCAAGTAAAACCCAAAGTCATAAAGCTGACGGTGCTGAAAGAAGCGATGATGCAGCCCAGGGAGCCTGACAGCAGAGGCAGCGGAGCTGGGGAGGAACGAAGGAGGTGTTCTGAGGGCTGCACCTGGAACCGAGAGGCCCAGGGCTGGGGCCAGGGCCAGGTGAACGCAGTTTAGGGCAGTAGCGCGCCCTTCTCCTCCTGCAGTCCCAGAGTGACTGGGAGGAGGGCGGGCTCCCTCCTGGGGAGGCCGACACCAGGCGAGTTTGGGGCTCTCGCTAGCAGGACCTAAAGCCCATCCCCTCTGCACCCCATGCTTCCTCTGCCCTGCTCTGAACCCCGGACTCTTCAAACAGGCCCAGGCTGGTTTGTCTGGACAGGGACACTGCTGTCTGTCTCCATGTCGCTGCCCTCAGCCACGGGCCACCCCTGCCCGGAGACATCACGGCTCCCAGCACCCGGACGGCAGCGACGCCCCACCCCTCCACCGCACCCGCCCACTTCCGGGGCCCAGCGTCACCTCCCAGGGCTGCTCTCAGCCTCTCCCAGAGCCCGCCTGCCACCCTGCCTTCCTCTTCGCACGAGCTGAACCCCTGGTCGTTCATGGCAGCAAACACTTGATCGCCCCTTCCTGGTAGCTTGGCACAGCTCTGGTTGATGAGCTGAGGACAGAAGGCCCCGGGGAGGAGTGTCCCTCCCCAAATCCATCTCATTCATCTCTCAGCCTCACCCATCCTTCTTGCTCTTTCCTGGAATGCATATGTGAGGCCTGGAGACACAGCAGCCACCTTCTTACCAAGAGATGAGGAGCCCCAGGGCTAAGGCCTACACCCTAAGGACGACAGAGGGGTCAGGCAGCCTGGTCTCTGCGGACACAAATAAGCCCGGCTGGTGGGATCACAAGTAGCCAGGGATTCTGCTGCCAGCAGCTGAACACAGCGCATCCAGTGCACTCCGGACATGGTAGGGGCCGGGCGGCTGCCACCCGCACTAGCAGATCCTCCCCGCTCAGTCAGAGCAGTGTAATTATGCCCTTCCTTGTGCGGCCACAGAGTTACTTGCTCAATTACAGCACTTATTTAATCCGGCTTGATTTGGTCTCATGAGTGCTCCCCGCTGGTCTGCCCAACTCCGGGAGGCCAGGGGTCTCTACCCCACCAGCGCCTCTGTCCCTCCTTTGCCCCAGCTGGGCTCCTTCTCCAAGCATCTCCTCGGTGGGTGTCGCTATAGCACCCTCACCGCCTGTGGGTGCTGGCACCAGGGGCTGCCCCTCTGCTTCCAGCTGTTTGGGCTCAGGCAAGGAAGCGGACTCTCAGGCCTGCATTTCCTCTATAAAAGGAGAGGATGGATGCTCACATCCCAGGGTGGCCACGAAGACAGAGTGGTCGAATCACGAGCACGCAGGACGGGGGCTGCGTATCACAGTGCTTCGTAACTGGGAGCTTACTGGTATAATGAACAGTTCAGCTGCTGAATGAATAAACAGATCAGCACATGGCCGCTAAGAAACGAACAAGGAGATCCACGAGGTTCCCGAGTTCGGACCCAGGGTGGAAGCTGCACTGTCTCTCCTGGCTATGCTTGTCCCTGGCCTTCGGAGTGGTGAGGCCCTAAAGTCAGGCCTGGCTTCCCGCACACGCTCTGCTTTTTGCTCTGTGGCTTGGCCAGGTCCCTGCATCTTTCTGAGCCTCAATTTCCCCCCAGAGACGGGAGAGTGACGCCTCATGCACAGGGTGAACCACGGAGTCGTACACAGCACTGTGTTCAGCACGAGGGTTAACACTGAGCAATGCTGCCATCGGTCTCTGTGTTAACCGACAGTGTCCGCCGACACGCGGCCTGAGGTGCTCAGGCCGCTCTGGTGCACTCACCTGTGGTGTGTGCAGACACTCGGGACAAACGGCAAGGAAGTGCCCTTTCTCAGGCCCACAAACAGCTGTGTCATTTTGATTTTTTTCCCTTTAAATGAGGATTAGCCTGATTCACCCTAAACTGTGGCCTCTGGTGTCATCTTCAGTTGAATTCTTAGCTGACATCAAACCAGGCTAGAAAGTTCAAGTGCACAGGAAACAATCTAGGAACTGTGCATTTAAACAACAACATTTCCACACGTCACATTTCATTACTGTCAGCGACGTATTCCAGCCTCACTTGCAGATTTCTCCTCTCTGGCCTTAAAAGAAGATATGTATACGATTTCGTGTAAGTTTCCCTTTAAACTCACACAAAACCTTTACGTTGGTTCCATTCAACCACTTGACGGCTCCATTAATCTACTTTTACTGTTAAACATGCTACTTTACAAGATACTTATTCCACTCATCGTCATCCAAATACTTTTTGACATTACTGCCCTGGACTGAACTGCTTGCCCTCGCGGCCCTTAGAAACAAAATCGCCTTCTGACTCAACTCCAGTGCTCCCAGGACCCACCGGACACGCGCCGCGTTCGCTTCTGCTCCACATAACGGGGGCTGTGAGCGGTCCCAGCTGCCCCAGGGTGATAGCCAGGGACTCCTGTCCCCCTGGCCGGCCTCGGATGTGGGAGCTGCTAACTTTCTGAGAAAGTGATCTGCAGTGAGCAGGTGGGGAAGAACTCGGCCCCCAACAGTGATCCCGGGGCCCAAGCTGAGCAGTGGCTCAGGGAAGCGGTCCGGTCCGGTCAGTTCACCAACTCTCTCCTCCTCCACGCCCAGACAAACAAAAGGCCAGCTCCGGAGCGACCCACGGGCCTTGACGCCCATCCATCAGGTGGAGGCCCGAGCAATCCCAACTTGGCTCGCCCGCCCGTCGAGCTCCCAGCCTGCCCGGCCCGCTCGGCCCCGCCGCCTCGGCGCCAGGCCAGGGCACGGCGGGTGCCGCGATGCCCGCCGCTGCCCAACTTTCCGCTCCTGGCCCCCGCACGCGGCTGGCACAGGGCGAGTTTGCCAAGCCGAGGATCCCGAGTGCGGGAGCCACAAAGAGCTGCCACGCCAACAAAGCGGGCGCTCCGTGGGCGGGGGCGGCAAGGACCGCGCTCGCCGCGCACCTGGCCGCGCAGGGACAGCGCCGCCCGCGGCCGGCGCGCCAGGTGGCTGGGCCCGGACCGGAGCGCGGCGCCTCGGCCACGGCGTGCTCTTCCTGCCGCCGCGCACGGCGAGCGTCACGCGGGCGGGGCGCGGGCTACGGCCCCCTCGGCCCGCGGCGCAGCGCGGCCCGGCCCCGGGAAGCCGGCGCCCGCGCACAGCGGCGGCCGGGCGGAGGCGCCGGCCGAGCGGGCGCCCGCGGGCTGCGTAACGCCCTGTCGAAAGCGGACGCCATATTTTTTTGTGGCTGTGTCGACACAGAGCGACGTAGACATGTTTTCCTCTCCTCCTCGGTCTGGCTTGCCTCCGCGCCAACTTGCCGTCAGAACTCTTCTGGGGAGGCCGCCGAGCCCTGGTACCGCAGCTCCCCCCGCGGGCACCCGCACCCCACCCGGGTCGGGGCGCAGCCCGGCCGGGTCCCCTCGGCGCGTTCCGGAGCCGGCGCGGTGGGAAAGTTGGGCTCGGGCTGGCGGCGCCCGGCGCGGGGCTCTCCGCGCCCGGCAAGTTTCTTACCTGCGGCGCCGGGGCTGGGGGCGCGCGGACGCGGGGACCCGGGCTGGGCGCGCGGAGACGAGCGCGGGCTTCCAAAATGGAACTCTGCTGGCTCCCCCACCCTCGGCCCGCTCCCCGGCCGGCGCCCGCGGGCTCCGTGGGAAACGGAGGGACAGCCAGCGTGCCGGGCTCGGGCAGAGAGGCCCGCTCCGAGGACGGCGGCCAAAATTTAAAAAGAAAAAAGCAAAAAGAGAAAAAGAAAGAAAAAAAGGGGGAAAATGCCGATCAGTGGGGAATCTACGCCAAAACCCACATGATCTGTAACGTCAGCATGCGTATTTGCATACGATACCACCGAGCTGGCACCGCGGCCGGCGCCGCACAAAGTTGCAAAGTGAGCCCGGCCCCTCCGGCCGGCGGGGTCAGCGCGGGGCGCCGCGGGCGGGGGCGGCCTCAGGCCCCGGTTTGCGGCCGGGCGGGCGTGCGTTAACTTCGAAGTCCGAGCCCAGTAACGGACCCGGTGGAATTTGCGAGCAGCGGAGGGGAGGTGCGAGCGAGATCATTGAATATTAAGCGCGAGCCTGCGCGGCCCAGCCCTGCGGAGCGGTGCCCATTTTCTTCGGGAAAAGTTCGAGGCGGCCCTGCTGAGCTCCCCGGACTGCGGGTCCTGCCCGCGTGCAGGGCCGGCTGTGGTGCCCCGGGCGTCGCCTGCGGGCTCGGGGGCGGCTTTCGGAAGTTCGGAGGCGCTGGCCGCCGGACCGCAGCGCGGGTGGGGAGGCCGGGGCGGGGGCCCGCTTGCGTAACCGCGCGAAGTTTGGCCACTTGTCGGGGCTCTGGGCTTTCCGCTCGAGCCGGTCTGCGGCTGGGGGAAGCTCTCCGAACTTTCCCCAAGAGCCGCTGAACCTACAGGCGGCCCGGAGCCCGCCGGCGAGCTCGGGGTCATGGACTCGGGACTCGCGAGCGCCGGAGAGGTCCGTGCGGGACCCGGAGCTAGGCCGGCGTTCCGGGCAGCCGCGAGCCTTCCGCAGGCCGGGTGGGGCGCCCCGGGGTCGGGGTCGGGGCCCCCCGGGTCGGGGTCGGGCGCGGAGCCGGGCCCGTGTCACAGCCTGCCTCGGAGCCCCGGCGGGGGCGCGGGCCGCCGTCTAGGGTGCGGTTTGGACGCTGAGCGCCCCAGAAAACAAAGGGAGCCGGGGCGGGCGACGCGGCGCCCCCGCCGGGCTGCGGATGGGGCGCGGCGGCTGGGCGCCTGTTGGGGAGCGAGCGCGAACTCTAGCGGGCGTGCGGGCGGCAACAGGTGGCAGCGCGGGCTGGGCGGGGACCCGGGCGGGCGGCTGGGCTTGGGCGACCCCTGGCCACGCGCCGCGCCGGAGCTTCTGACGTCCGTGACCTGGGCTGCGGAGGAGCAGGCCGCCCAGGGGCTCGGGGCTGCCCCTGCTCTGGGTTCTGCGGCGTAAACCTTAACCCGCCCCCGGACAGTTACAGTGGCTCCTAGGCGCGTTTCTCACCGGCGGGCACCTGCTCTCGTGTTATTACCGGTGCAGGGCCTGTCTGCTTTTTAACAGCGAGAGAGCGAGGTCTTAGCCCAGGGGGTCCCCGGCGTGAAGCCCAGCGTCCTGTCAACCCCGTCTTGATGACCAACGCCCGCCTGGCGCCGCCTTCCCGAGCATGTGATTGATGCCTGCCACCCACGTCTCCTCCACCTTCCAGGGACGTCGGAGTTTAGGGATGCTGCCCCTGCTCCCGGTGTGCCGGGACCTAATGGAAAAGAAACCCGAAACAAAACTCCGCCACCAGCTCCGAATTTTCACAGCATTTACCTTGTAATACATACCCTTCCAGCGCCCCCACCCCCCACCCGCAGTACTTCCCAACCGGTTTACGTGGAAGTTGCACAGGCCTTTGAGGCTGCATCTCCTCTTGATGATCATTTACTTTCTTTCTGTCCTTCTGTTGCTGTTGCTGTGGAACCGGGAATTGAACCCCTGGAGTTCTACCACTGGAGCTATATCCCCAGCTCTTTTTTTTTTCTTCTTTTTCTTTTTTATTTTGAGAGAGAGCCTTGCTAAGTTGCCTAGACTGGGCATGAATTTGAGATCCTCCTGCCTCAGCCTCCCCAATAGCTGTTATAAAGGTGTGTGCCGCCTATACACCAGGGTTGCCTTTTGTCCGACTCATGGCCACCTGCTCCTGGGTGGAGACAGATGTATAGAAATAGTCTGGGGATGCCTCTGTCCCCCTGAGGCAAGGTCTGCTGAGTTCCTGTATCTTTAGGCCCTTGGATCTCATGGAGACGAGTGACAGTATGGCTTCCAATGTGCTGCAGTGTCTTTAAATTGTCCCAGGGTTAGTAGGGACTGAACCTCGGAACCTCTCGCTCTCAGCATGGCATGTACTCAGTGTTTTGGGTATGCTACCTCATGTTTACAACCCTGTCAGGCAGCCATTCTCAACATATTTTGTCTCAGGTTGCCTTGAAGCATTTACGTGATTGAGGACCCCAAATAGTCTTTATTTATGTGCGTTTTACAAATATATTGACATTTAACACGTCAGAAATTAAATTTAAAAATGCAGACAATCTGCAAGCAGGCTTTCCATCAGGCACTGAACAGTGTCCTCAGATGTCATGGGAAACCACTGCACAGCCAGGAGAGAATCAGTGAGAGAGACATTTGCCATGCTCAGGAAAATGACCTTGGCCCTGAGGACCTGTGGAAGCCTAGGGGCCTGGAGGATTTCTGAGCAGGCCTGGGAGCCCATTAAGATCTGCTGTGTGGTTTCCCTGCTTCCTAGAGCAGGGGCTCAGAAATGTGGGGCCTTGCCAGGTGAGTGGGGGGGCTGGAGTCTGTGCTCAGAGAGGCAGAGCTCTTTACCCACCACACGCTCCCCCTTTCCGATCACACCTGAGCTCTAGCCGCCTCCTAGGGCAGCCTTGGAGCAGCAGAGGTCTTGAGCCTCTCCTGGGGCCTGGCACCTCACCAAGGTTTCATAGTCATCTTCTCAAACCCTTAGAGCCACCTGCCTGGCAAGTATTGCTTTCCCAGTTTTACAGACTGGGAGACTGAAGTTCAGGAAGGTTGATAAACTTCTCCAGAGTCACAAAGCCAAGTCCTGGATCCCAGCAGTAGAACCTGGATCCCAACCTTTGTTGGTGGTTCAAAGCCAACAAAGGACAAAAGGTCATGGTTTTGCTAGGTGCCCGTGAAAGGAAAGAATGTCTTCCACTTCATAATTTGGTGAGAGCCAGGCCTGCTTGGGAAGTTTTGAAAATTTGGAAATGGCACCAGGAGAAGAAATAAAAGTGACAGTACCAACCCTGAGAAGCTCATGGTCTTGGGAGAAACAGCTGCAATGCCTAGGAGCCAGAGGAGGTGTGGAGGGAGTGGCAGAGGTGTGGGGTTGAGATGTGAATCACAGGGCTACTCCTTCAGCCGTGTGACTCCTGCCCATGCATGCTGGGTAAATATTTTTATAAGTGGAGGACCCCCCCCCCCATGCAGGGAAGCAGGCAAAACCAAGAAAACAGCAATCCTACTGGTTACTAATTATAGTCTGTCCATAGGTTGCATTTATTTGATTTTTTCCATTCTAAAACTCTTAAAAGAAGCAGAAACTATCAGTGAACAGTTTACCAAGTGTAGCATGGGTCAGAAGGAGATACAGTGTGGCCTTCAAGAGGGAGGGCAGAGAGCCCCATTGGGTAGATGCTGTGTCCCTCCACTCCTGTATCTTCCTGCAGCTTGGTGTGATGTTCTCCATGCTTTGAAAGGAAACCATGATGCTGGTAGAACTGCAGCTGGGACTTGTGTCTTCAGGCTGATAGTAAGAGCATCACTTGGCAGTAGTTAGAACTTGCTTAGAGTGTGAACTGAAAGTTCATGAAATGGGAAGAGCCAGAACTGATGGTGATTTGATTCTCACATCAACCCCCAAAGCTAGCAGAGCCATTCCGTTTTGTCCATTTTACAGAGGAGAATGTTAAAGCTTGTCCAGGTTGTGGTAGTTAGTCCAAGTTCACAGGGTAAATCAGAATGATTTAAACCCCAGTCTTGCAAAAACATTCCCCCCTTTTAAACAGATGGTGGTAGAGGGGCTGGACATCCACAAGTAGAAGGTTGAAATTAGATCCCTTTCTCTCACGCTGTACAAAAATCAACTCAAAATGAAGCAAAGACCCTAATGTAGGACCCGAAACTTTGAAGCTACGGCAGAAAACGGGAAACACTGAGATACTGCCATGGGCAGTGATTGCCTGGATAGCTCAGGAAACAAAAGTGAGAATTGCCAAATTGATTACATCAAATTAAAATGCTTCTGCACAGCAAAGGAACAATCAGTAGAATGAAGAGACACCCTTCTGAATAGGAGACCTTTGGCATCTATTCATCTGACAAAATATTGTATCCAAAATACATAAAAACTCAAAAATTTACAACAATGAAAATAAGTCCAATCAAAAAATGGACAGGCTATCCGAATAGACACTTCTCAAGGAGTAGAACTGGCCAATAATATATGAAAAAATGCTCAATATCTTCAGCCATCAGGGAAAGACAGACCAAGACCACGTAGAGATCCATCTCATTCCAGTTAGAATGGCTGTTGTAAAAACAACAACAAACAACAAACACTGGCAAGGAGGTAGAGAAAAAGGAGTCCTTTGGCACTGTTGACAGGGATGTCAATCAGTGCAGCCACTGTGGAACACAGTATGGAGTTATAAATAGACCTACAGTGTGACCTGTCCCACTCCGGGTATATATCAGGAGGAAGCGTTCAAAACATTCAAAGGAGATGCCCACATATGCATGTTTATTGTGGCACTCTTGACAAAAACCAAGATGTGGAATCAGCCTAGGAAGCTATCGAAATGAATGAATAAGGAAAACGTGGTATACATGCACAATGGAATACTATGCAGCCACAAAGAAGAATGCAGTCTGTCATTGCAAGAAAGTAGATGGACCTGGAGACCAAAATGCAAAGTGAAGTAAGTCAAACACAGAGAGGCAGATACTGCATGTTTTCTCTCATGTGGAAACTAAACAAAGAAGAAAAAAGGACTATCTGAAAGTAGAAGGCAGATTATCAGGGACCAGAAAGGGAGTAGGGGAACAGAGGGGAGGAGGGAAGAGAGGAGGGAGGACAAGGTGAACGCACAATATATGCAGGCGTGGAAGTGGCACAGCGTTACCTATTGATTTGAATGATTAATGTTGTTCATCATAATAATAAAAGGTTAAAAGTCCACATCTTGTAACTTTAAGGTCAGGGCCTTTTCTGTGCTGCTGCTTCGTTTGCTTTTGTACTGAGAGGAGGCTAAACAGACCTCTTGTCAGACGCTGCGGCTCTCGTTTGGCAGAACCTGGGGTGCAGGTGGCACCGAGCAAGGTCTGTCCTTCTGTCCATTCTTCTGTATGAACTCGCTTGAGTCTTCCTGGTCTCCCCGCTGAGTGGGGTCCCTGCAGCCAGGCACCCTGGTGACTGTAGTAGTGCCTGCTTCTCCTGCCCTCATGTCCTGGGCGCCTGACAAGTAACTGCAATGGGAAGCACGCAGGCCAGGAGCGCGCACAACTTCTCTGGCCTCGAGGGGCCCAGAGTGCCGCGCTTCTGCGCTGCTGAGCCCGGGCTGCTGCTGCTGTGTGGTGCCTGGGCTTCAGGCTCGGCTTATGCGGATCCCCGGCACCAGAAATGTTCGCTCTGCTCTGGGCCTGCGCACTGGTCCTCTACCAGCTCATCGCGCAGGAGCGAAAGCTG